TTCGGAAAAACAAATGAGTGATTCCATCATTTTAAAAATGGTTATCGAAGGAAATTGAATTCAATTTCAAAATATATTTAATCTATGTATCTTTAAGATGATTATGTGTATGTATTTTGAATTATTTTGAGGATGTTAATGAAAAAAATAAAATGTTTTTTTTTTTAAACAAACAACTAAAACTAACAATGGTCGAACAATAGTTATTCTAGGCGCTTCTTGATTATTTACAGACATTTGGATTCCGAAAAAAAAAATAACGATAATTGAAAAATAGTGACACAGACTTGAACGATACTTGAAGATACTAAATAAAAAGCAGTTCTTTCAATTATAAAGTATCCAAGAAAAGAAATTATTTTACTAGTACATTTATGCAGAGTTGCAAGTATATGTTAAAATAATGTACCTGTGTAATAAAGAGTGTAAATAATGTAGTTGGATTAGCCATCAAGACAGAGTTATGATGTAATTTTTACACTAACGCTCTTTTTGATGTCGCATATAATCATCAACAAATTTCATGTTAAATTAAAAATAAGACAAAAAAATAAAGCTGTACAAAAAAATGGTTTGACAAATATACCCTAGTTTTTTAATCACTGTCCCTCTAAATTAAACAATAAATTCAAAAGTAATTGAAATGAAATTTGCTGTAGGTGACAAGCTTTCAGATCACATGCATGGTTTTTTTTGCTAATTGAAATATCGGAATATTATAAATATTTGCTTAGGGTACGAAATCTTGTTGACTTCCGTGTTAATTTAAGAATTCACTGATATCCTTACTCTCTAATGATTGAATGAAATGAATGATTGGAATATTGAGCAAGTTCTGAATCAGATGATGGGATATGTTAGCAAGCTGGAATTATATGAAAGATGCCTTGATAAGCTGTCCTCCTTACTGATAGGTTTCGATCTCGCCTGAAGTTAATCCATCTATATAAGCCGTCGCGATCCGGCTAGCGTTGGAGTGAGTCATTATTTGGTATTTGATCCTATCTCGCTATCTCTTTGTTTAGCCTGTTGTCACTGCTGTGCCAGTTGTTTTGCTGACAGATACCGAGATCCTTGTGTCGTGTTTCATCATATTTACGATATCAAGGTCTCGTAATCTGTAATTGACTCATGTAACGTCTTCTACATCTCTACCAACTCCCTAGATAGAACTGCACTGTATATTTGCGTTTATTAAAGTTGTTATTATTTAATTAAAACCATCGTATGTTTTCATTTGCTCGATTAGTACGAATCACAACATTTTTATCAATAGTTTATTTGTGTTATTCAAGTTATAGGGTCAGTTGCGCAAGTGAAGAAATTTATTGGGCTGGCAAATAAGTCTTTTTGATTTTTCAGAGTGAATTCAAATAAGTTGATTATAAATATAAAATTTACTTTAATTTATAAGTTATTGACCATTATATAAAATGATCTGTTCCCATTTTTCCATTACTGGTACTGGTACTGTCGGTAGAAACTAGTCCAACAAGTGGGCCACATGGTCCTGTGGTAACCTCTGACGGTTGTCTTGAGGAGATGTTTACGCCGTATGTTTACCAGTCGAAATTCATTTATCTGGACCGCTGAGAAATATACATTAATTGACCCTGGTGGGATTCGAACCCCCCCATATTCATAACCGAGCACTCTAGGACCAATGATCCAACGTAGTCGACCATTACGTCCTCATTTTCCCACTAACTGCATAATGCAAGTTTTATAGAATGTTTGGAGTTTAATTTCAGAAAACCGATTTAAGTGGTTTTTGATTTCCTGTTTGTTTTGGAATTCCTTTCGATTCATGAAGTTTTATAGATACAGGAATAAGTGGTTGTCGCTTGGAGCTAGGTATGGTGAATAGAGAGGATGGGGCTAATGGCTCCATTCAAAGCTTAATGATTAATATTATAATAGTCAAAATAAACTGAAACATCGAAAGGACTTCCTAACCAGCCCAATAGTTTACTGATACCATGGAAAAAAAGTTAGTTACGAATAAAAAGTTTCAATCTCTTTATTCATTAACATTCATTTTCTTTATCTGTTAACCTACAGTTATCAAATGTAATCTTTATTAGTTTGTTATGCGCGCATTTCTTATCTTTTATCACAATCTGTTTACTTTTAACTTACATGCTATATTCTCCTTTGTTTTCTATTTGTATTCATACTTATTTTCTATTTTTGTTTGTATCTTCTATATATATATAATACTTGATATTTTAACTACATTGTCACTTTGATATGATCTTTGATATCATCTTATTATTTCTATATCAGACAACTTTTTCTTATTTAATATCTACTTATAATTCATTTATTTTATTTTCACCATGTACCTTTTTATTTTGTATCTTTTGTAGTCCTGATGAAGACCTGCAAGGTGGGTCGAAACGTCGACATAATGATTAAATAATATCATTTCTATAATTTAGTATTTATTTGACTGCACCCCCCGATCAACTCCTTCTAAAAAAAAGTTAGGATTTTGATTTCGGTTTGAGAAACATTTACAATAGGTAATAGGTAATCACTTTTTTATTATAAGTAAATTTAGGATTTTTACTACCGTAATGGAATGGACGATTTGCAGACAATTTTAAATCGCCAGTTTCATATTTATGGATGATTTTTTGTGAGTGAGTGATTGTGTTGAGAGTATTTCCTTACAGTGGAAGAGTTTTATTGGAATACGTAATGAAGGCTGAGATGGATCAACAAGAGGGATAAGTGAATCTGCTACCCGGTTTAGGAGTGGGCTGAAGAAGCGACATGAGCCTTAGACTAATTAATAGACAGGAATGTCCATCAAGTAGCTCGGATCGCGTGAGCACTCTCTCGTGGTCCTGCATCTCTCTCTTTAACTATTTCATTAATTTAGTTTGGGTAATAGCCTCTGGTTTAGCCTCTCAGCTAATTCTCGGCCGCCTTACATTAACTAGGGGGAGTTGGCTTGCCAGGTTTTGCCTCCTTCCTATTCAACTTCACGTGTACTTAAATTAGTTGTTGAACTTGAGAACATTCATTAAATTAGTTGTTGGACTGGAAAACGTTTGTCGATTTAAGACTGGAGGAGTAGAGGTACACGATGAATTTATAAATAGAATAAATTTACTTAATTGTCTATTAAATTACCAGAAACTTGAGACCTATTCCTTCGTAAACAGGGATATTACGTCCCTCTAAAACCTTTTGATATAGACTTAAATTGTAGTGTTTATGCTTTGATGAGACGGTGATATTAAGAAATATATTTACTATTTTTATTAAATGTAAGGTATTTGAATCAGTTTCTACATTTTTTCTTTGTCAATCCAGGAACAGATGTAAAATGTATCAAAGTATTCTAGGTTGAACGATTCCTGAAAAACAAAAAAACAATAATTTAATACTATTCTATATAACACTTACTAGTTATTATAATAGTTGAAATGTTCACTACTCTGTTATTTACTGTTATTTGTATAATACGGATTATATATTATTTTGGTTTTCATGAAATTTAATCATCCGTTTCTTTTAAATATCTTCTACTTCTTCGTTCCCTGTTCTCGCGCCTGCCAGCTTCCAGGGCGAGCCTCTGGTCATTTCATCTGCTTATTTCTATCTTCAGCTATTCGAAGTATCTGATCCCACGTTTTCCTCTTTTTATATCATCCTTCGGGTTTTGCCTCAATATACCATATCGTCTTGCAGGAATCTGGAACATTCTCCATTTATGTTCCAACCATCTGAGTTACCGTTCCTCTATTTTTGCTTTCAAGGCGACTAAACCTTATTCGTCCCTAATAACTTCATTACGTATACAGTCTAACTTTGATTCCCTTCTTGCCGACTAAGACCCCGTTTGTTTTCCCCACTCTGTTTAAAATTTCTGAATTTTTCGATTCGGGTATCTCTATTTACAAGAGTACCTATATATTTGTAGGTATCCACGCATTTCATTAGTGTCCCGTTGCAAGTAATACTTATTCATTTCTCCCAATATCCATTACTTTACTTTTTATTGTATGCATCTCTTTTTATTAATTTCTCTCTCCATTAATTTCTTTTTATTAATTTTTCCTGGTTTCCGTTAATTATCCTCAGAGTTTGCTATTAGCACTATGTCATCTGCAAATACAAATGCCTGCGCCAAAACATGGAGAAGGTTCCTATGGCCGACAGTTGTCCCAAGAGCTCTTCTCTTGCAGATCTTAAGGATATCATCCATAAATGTCATGAAGAGGAGGAGACTTAGGCTGTCACCTTGCCTGACCCCGTTTGTAAAGGAGAAGAATCCGGAATCCTTTTTTATTTGTTTTTATTTATTTTATTAATATTTTGATGTCATTTACCGCTACATTAAGATGCAGTTGGTTATATATTCTTATTTCTTTTAAATATTGTTTAATATATTCTTAATTTTTTTTTTATTTACCGATTAACGCACTTCTATTAATTCTATTAATATGTGTTTGATAAGTGTTGTCGGCAATTGTTACATCTTGGCGGCAGTTTTCCTACTATTAAGTAGCTGTTCTTTCTATTATAAGTTTCGTCTGCTTGTTATTGTAACTTCTTTTTTTGTTTCAAGAGTGTGTTTGATGTTTCTTTTCTTTTTACTTTCAAAATATAAAAACATCATCACATTTTTTTTTTTACTCGTTAGAGGCCGTCAATTGAATGGTCCCTTAGTGAACTATTGTTAAAAAAAAATACCCAAAGATTTTTTCTAATTATAATTAAATAAAAAAAAAAAGGTTCAATGCCATAAAATATTTATTTTGAATTCTAAATTACTCCAGGCATAGAACATATAACATTACCAAGATAAAAGGATATTTTATTTATTTACTTTAATTTTCTTATTTATCTTACAACTCAGCTAAAAATATACATAAACTTCAATGTGGAAAAAATATAAGCTTTTCACGCGTTTCAAAACTCAAGAAAACCTTCAGTAGGAAAGAGTTTTACCATAACCGGGCGTGTTACGCCTGGTTTCTTTTCAAATGCTAAACACATGTCACGTCACTAGGACATGCGTCAAAACGAAACAAGTAGTCATATTTACTAGCACTACATTATTCAAAAAACCTCAATCTGATTTGCATATCGAAGGTCTTCCAACAAGATGGGGGCAGACTATCAAAAACACTGTGATTTTTCTTCTAATTTTATATATTTTTATTGAATAATAATGCAATTCGCCACTTACAAGTGCAATAATTATGAGTGCTAAGTTATCCATTCATACAATATATATATTTAAAAGAAATATAAATAATTAAGAAAATAATAATTAATCATATAAAATTAATAAGTATATAAAATATCAATGCTGATATGATATTAATGCTGATTACTAAAAAAAAAGGAATTAGAACGATAAAAGCAAAATAATATATGAACATCACAAACAAAAACACTGCAAATTATTTCACAATGGTTTATTATTTCCAAACAATTATACATCTAAAGTCACATTACCATTCGAGTTACAAAGAAAAAACAAAAACAAAAGGTGATTCCAATTATTGGACAAAACTGTTTTTCTTTAATCATTAGTAATACGCTAAAAAAAAAAAAATAGCATTAGTTCAGTAACACATTCAAAATTTAAAAACCAAACCAAGGATATAATATTTGGAGTAGAACATATAAAAAAAACCGGAGACCGTATCTTTGTCCGATTTTTTTTTTTTAATTTTACCATCCCTCGTAACTTTTTTTCCTGCTTCTTTTCGTTGAAGTATGTTATATAGATAAATTTAAAGGGCGTCGAGAAAATGACTTTAGCGAAGTTTCATTGAAATCTGTACATTCGTTTAGGAGCTATAGTCTATAGCGAAGCGGGTTTTTCGGCCGCCATTTCGAAAGTTAAAGGCGGAGAGTAATGTCGATGAAGGAGGATCATCCTCGGGTGACCTCTGATTTTATATCGAAATTAGAAAAAAATCGGTCCAGTAGTTTCGGAGAAAATGGCGAACGGCGGATGGACACAAATGTTTTTATTCTTTTTTCGAATTCTACGCGTCCTGAAATGTGAAACCTTAAATTTTGAGAGGGGGTTAAGTTTTTGAATTTTTAGGTCGATCACAATGGTTGGTTATTGAAAATAATAACCCAAAAGATATACATGATAAAAAAAATAAGTTCAAGTTGAATATATTTTTAAAAAAATAATAAATTATCCAAAATAAATTATGATCTATATACAATATTCACATTCACTTGGGTGTGTAGACCACTACGAGTGTAATTTTATGTACACATACTTTTTTAACTCAGAATTTCGATTGCTCTGTTAGTAAGAAAAATAGAAATAAAATTTCTTCGGAGGGAGACATGCGCCATCGATCCTGGGGGTTATGGTCACCCTTGTTACGTTAGTTGAGGAATGGCCTTAATCGGTAACAATTAATAATATTAATTTAACCCATCTTTAAATAATTTAGATCATTAACTATGTCGATTTGAAGATTCGCATAAACCCTTGGGTCCTTCGAAATGAATATTTCTGATAGTTTAGAAATAGTTGTATAACTTTTTTAAAAATAATAAGTGTTATGTTTTTATCATTTTAGCTAAGCAGTGATTAATTTGTTCCATTTGTTTCATTTCTTATTAGTATGGTATATAATTGTAGTATTTTGTAAATAGTCTCATCAGTTTGATTTTGTCTGTATAGTTTGTTCATTTAAAGATTATTTAAAGTTCATCCATACAAAGTTTTTTAATGTAACAGTTTTTTTGGTTAGATGTTATCAATTTCTTTTGTAACATTCTGTTATTCTTAAGAAACTTCGTCCCAGAATGAAGTTATTTTTTATCTGTCTATCTAAAAGGCACAGACTGGACACATTATCAAGACTTACGGAAATAATAACAGATTTCAACAATGAGTCTCTTTCTAACGGACCTCATATAAAAAAAAAAAAAAAAAAAAAAAAAAATTTGTACCTCTATAACCCATGAAGGGTCTTGGGTGCAGTACTATGTAAGGAAGTAATGTTACAAGGCCAACGGTTGTGCAGGGAGATGATGGAACCGATATCACGCTTAACCGCCAGGTTTTTTCCCTTAATTATTTTATTTTTTATAATTAAGATTACCCACTTTATAGAGGCTGGGAGTGCCCCAGGAGGGTCTCCCGATCCCTGGATCGATCCACGGCTAATGAAAAATTACTAGTCATCAGCCGTACTCGAACCCAGGATGTTGAGCTCTGGAAGTCAGTGCTCACCCACTGAGCTACCCCGCTCTCCCGGACCTCATATTGAGAATATCAATTACTGATAAGTTCCTTTGAAATTCTCCTCCGACTTCTTTCACTATTCCTGAATATATTGCTCTTATGATCCTCTAGAAAAATCACACTCTAGCAGTTACGTTCTTGAAGTCACACACTTGCCAGGAGACTTAGATCCTTGACCTTGTTTTTTCTTGTAGGAGACCTGGAAGTACCTCTTGTAGTCAACCCATATTATAGTATAATCCGGTTCTTAAGATGCCATTTGTCACAGATATTATAAATAAAAATGTTACTTGTAAAGTCTTCACTGCATACGATTTGTTAACTATTGATCAACATACCGTACGAAGTATTATTTATATTTATATGATTTTTTAAATTAACTAAAGGTTCAATTTCTATACTCTCAACTACAAGAATTACTGGGAGAGTGCGGACTACAAGACACGGACACCTCTGGTACAGTGACTACCCCAGGAGGACAGGAGCTGACAGAGGGAGATGTAGCGGTTGGAGGACTAGACGCCGACTTACACAAGAAAAAAGCTCACTACGCGACGGGGCTATCTAATGCCAGCTCGAGTCTTTCTTAAGGCGAGCCCCCTATGGTCAGCCAGTTCCCTCTTCTATTTGCTCCCTACACTGGAAGCCCATTATATTGTCGTCCGCATACTAATAGCATCTCCGCTCCTCTAGCACGCGACACTTGCTCCATCACTTCATTTCGCTGCTCATATGATAGGATACCGTTCAAAATATTGCGTAAATTGATTATTGCAACCAACAACAGCGTTCTAGATAGTACTGTAGGTTATCTGAGAGAAAAAAAAACTCAACTAAGGTGTGTGTTTTAGACCACACGATAGAAGTGAAATCGCCAACAAGGCGAGATTAATAATATGAAAAAATAGCTCATTACAGAGAGGATGAAATGCTGATCAATACCCCCACTGCAATATGCAGGTCCTATTTATAGTTTCTGAAATAATTTATTCCATATCAACAAAACTCGTTGTAATTTGGTTTTTGGCACTATTTTTCCGTTTTCTCCTCTCTAACACGTTCTCGCGTTAACATACAATTGTGAATAATAGCGTATTACAGAGAGGAAGAAATGTTGATCAACACCCCCCCCTACAGTAAGTAGGTCTGATTTTTAGTTTCTAAGATAATTTATTCCATATCTTCAACAAAACTCGTTATCATTTGGTTTTTGGCACTATTTTTCCGTCTTCGCCTCTCTAACACGGTCTCGCGTTAACATACAATTGTGAATAATAGCTCATTACAGAGAGGATGAAATGCTGATCAATACCCCCACTGCAATATGCAGGTCCTATTTATAGTTTCTGAGATAATTTATTTCATATCTTCAATAAAATTGGTAATAATTTGGTTTTTGGCACTATTTTTCCGTTTTCTCCTCTCTAAGACGGTCTCGCGTTAACATACAATTGTGAATAATAGCGTATTACAGAGAGGATGAAATGCTCATCAATACCCCCACTGCAATATGCAGGTCCTATTTATAGTTTCTGAGATAATTTATTCCATATCTTCAATAAAATTGGTAATAATTTGGTTTTTGGCACTATTTTTCCGTCTTCGCCTCTCTAACACGGTCTCGCGTTAACATACAATTGTGAATAATAGCGTATTACAGAGAGGATGAAATGCTGATCAATACCCCCACTGCAATATGTAGGTCCTATTTATAGTTTCTGAGATAATTTATTCCATATCTTCAACAAAACTCGTAATTTGGTTTTTGGCACTATTTTTCCGTCTTCGCCCCTCTAACACGGTCTCGCGTTAACATAAAATTGTGAATCAAACAGAGAGGATGAAATGCTGATCAACACCCCCCCCCCCTACATTAAGTAGGTCTGATTTTTAGTTTCTAAGATAATTTATTCCATATCTTCAACAAAACTCGTTGTAATCTGGTTTTCTGCACTATTTTTCCGTCTTCGCCTCTCCAACACGGTCTCGCGTTAAGATACAATTGTGAATAATAACGCGATAATAATTAAAATTACAGAGAGGATGCTGATCAATATTCCTACTACTTTTATGCAGGACCGATTTATTGTTTCTGAGATAATTTATCCCATACATTCAACAAAACTCTTAATTTCATTGTTAGCACTATTTTTCCGTTTTCTCCTCTCTAACACGGTCTCACGTTAAGATACAATCGTGAATAATAGCGTATTAAAGAGAGGAGGAAATGCTGAACAATTTTCTCTCTCATAGTATGCAGGTCCGATTTTTATTTTCCGAGATACTTTAATCTATATCTTTAATAAAACTCGTTATCATTTGGTTTTCGACACTGTTTTTCCCTTTTCGCCTCTCTAACACGACGTCGCATTAAGATACAATTTTGAATAATAGCTCATCACAAAGAAGATGATATTATGAACATTTCTCTCCCTAACAATATGCAGGTGCGATTTTCAGTTTAATCCACAAAGATAAAAATATTTTAATCCCTATGCAAAAACACCAATTTGTCGACTCCAGCGTTTTACTCGAACGTTACACATCAGAGATCTGACGGTTCGATCTAATTCACTCTACACACAAAAAAGTACAAAACTTGCCTGAAAAAGTTTTCACTTAAAAAAAATAATACAATTCTTCCTTGAATTCAATCAGTGTTTTACAACAAGGCACGCAATAATTATCTGCTTGTAAAATATATATCCAAGTATATTTATATTAAAATAAGCAGCTCAACAACTATAGGAACCCATTCTATACGAAAGTTTAAATTTAAGTTTAAAGATTTCTGTATGGTATTAAATTTAGTCTTCTTAATTTACATTAATTAATTTATAATTACTTTTCTTTACTGATGAGGATTATCTGAAATTTTTTTTTAAATTTGATCAAACTGTTAAAATTAATTATTAATGATCCATATTGACTCAATTTGATGTAATACGAGTATATTAAACTAACTGGCATCTATGTACATAAATATTTGGCCTTTGATTATAACACAAAGAATCACAGGAAAGAAATATTACAAAAGAAAGAAATTCACAACTGTACCTATTTTAACGGCCTATCAATGGTAGACTGCATTTATAATTAATAAGATGTATATAAGTATCATATAGCAAAATTTCAAGCCAACTAAAATTGGTGAATTTTTACCTCTGAAATTGCAATTTTTTAATTTGACCCTGCTAGTGGATGTCCGCGATCTAACATAGGCAGACATCTTTATTTATTTATTAATATCCAAATACTTTTTCATTTTCAAATTTAAAAAAAAAAAAAAAAAAAAAAAAACCTGTACCACTACAACCCATAAAGGGTCTGGGGTTCAGTACTATTTAGGGAAAGCACTGTTTCTCGGTCAATAGTCGTGCAAGGAGGTGATTTGACCGAGATCACGCTCAACCGCAAGGTTTTCCCTCTTAATTAATTATTTAATTAAGGGTACCCACTTTATAGAGGCTGGGTGTGCCATAGGAGGGTCTTCCGACCCAGGGTCGCCCCACGACCAATGAAACAGATAAATAAATTTTCTGCCATGAGCCGGGGTTCGAACATGAGACCTTTGCATTGGAAGCTCAGTGCCCTACCACTGAGCTACCCCACTCCCTTTCAAATTTCAAGCCTCCTGAAAATGGACATTTTATCACTGGAAATTGCAATTTTTGAATATAAATCTCCTTGCGGTTTTCCGCGTCCAGCCATAGGTAGACAACGTTATTTCTTTATTATAAACCATGGTTATTTCCTCCTCTTTAACTGAATATTGTCATGTAATCAAATTTCAAGCTCTCTGAAATTCATGAAGTTTGATGCCTAAAATTGGAATTTTTTATTTAGAGTCTGCTAGGAGATTACTGCGGCCTAAAAAATGAAAATGTAATTTTAACTTGATATTTTAACTACACTATCAGCCATTATATCACTGACATCATCTTATTTCTTTATCCGACAACTGTTTCTTATTAAATATCTACTAATAATTCATTTATTTTATTTTCACTATGTGTCTTTTATCTTTTATAGCCCTGTTGAATACCTACTAAGTCGGTCTAAACGTCGGCGTAATTAATGAAATACTATTCTAGTTCATAGTATTTAGTTGACCGCAACCCCGACCAACTCCTTCTCATATCCTATTCATGGTCAACCACCTCTTCACCATTATAGATATAATTTAAAGACTCCTAAGATTGATAAATTTATTACACCAAAGTAACAATTTTTTTTTAAGGATCTCGAGGATCACAGCGGCTTGGAAACGTCAGCAACTACTAAAAACCGACACATTTTAATAGAACGATTTATCTATCGAAGTTTCATCCATCCTCCGACGTTGCAGAGGGCTGTTTTGCATAACCGCCATTTTAGAATGCAGCGTATTTTGGAAAGATAGACAAAACTTAGTTTTTTGTTTTTGTTGGTTCTGGCTCTAGGGCTACTAGACTCGAAACTTTTAAAGAGAACAACTCCTAAACACGCTCACCATCGCATTCTTATCTCGAAGAAGTCACAAATTCTGAACTATTTTAATGTGTGTTAATCAGGTTGTGAAATTTCCTTATCGTAGAAAATCGGTTTATGCCAACTTCTTATATTATTTTGTTATCGCTTGTTCTACTCAGTCATCTTGTTGTTGTATTCAATAATTCTAGACTTTTCCTTATATCTTTATATTATCTCTGCAAAAAACTATCCGGTAAGCATTTAAATTTCAGAACTTGATAGAGTTCAGTAAGGAAGGGCTTAAGTTTTGAAATTTTGATAATATAAAACGAGGCATTGTTTTTTTAATATAGTTTACTCTGAATACTTTAGATAAAATTATATAGGTAAAAAATATATTTTATTTTGTTTTTCTTTTCACATGGCTTGTAGCTGAACTTTTAAGCCACAGTTTTACTCTTCACATGGAGTTGGCTATTTGTATATTTCTTCCTTCGCCATTTGTTTTTACAGCACAAATTCGATGCTCATGCTATAATATTACTATTTATGATTAGCTAGTATAGCTAATAATAAAGTACTTGGAGTCGATAGGCCAACAATGGATTGAACCCCAACAAAATCGTATGCTCATGAACCGATGTTGCCGGTCCCTCTCTTCCCTGGCACCTCGAGGAAGTAACCGATATTCTTTTATTGTGCTTGATTGGTTTAAATCACAAGTCTTGCTGCAAAAGGTACCGGAGAAAGTCGGGAAACCGGTGTTCTTGCTACGTGCAATCCATCTCAACCCTGATGGGAGAACACCTCCCATGTTGCACACCTCAAGGCTCACCTGTGCTTTACTGTCATCTAGGATTGCATATAGGATTTAAATGGCTTCAGTGGTCTCTGTCAAATCACCTTCATCATCAAATCATCTCTGTGCATCTTTTATTAACAGCGAGATTAAAAATAATTGTATGTTTTCTCAACCTTTTTTAAATATAATCCTGTCATCAGCAATTAGTAACTTCTCGCTCCAAATTAAAAAAACAAAATAAAAAAAATTATGTTTTTGTTGACTCGTTGCTGTAGTTTATATTGGTGAAATAAAATCTTTAATTTGCTTAAATGTTTTTTTTTTCATTTCTGATAA